CATTGATGCGTGAAGCGATCACTTTTTGACTTTATGAGGCAACAGCTGACCGACCCACATTCCCATCTGCTCATTTTTTTGGAGAAAAGTTAGCTTAACGTCTATCAAAAGGGCCATGAGGCTGAATGTCGAGGAACGTCTATTTCCTTGTCTGCACTTCACTCGTATATTCCATGAAGAATTTTTCGTACCGTTGCTTCCGTGAAAAAACCCAGTCTCCGTTGTGACGGATCCATTTTTACCCGGTTGAATGCGTCAATGTAGAGAACTCGTGTGTTAGTGCAGCACTCATCTCCGCTCCTCCTCGTCCCCACCTGAAATACATCCGCCTCTCAACCGTAACCTGCGTGTGTTAACCATCTTTTAGGCATCGATCAGTATGATCTGACGTTTTGGGTGTCTTTGTGTAAGCTCCTTAATTATAGCTTGTTAGCTTGTGGTTCAACGTTGTGACTCCCCCCTATTCCTATGCTTAGAATTAGGGGTAGGCTTCTGCTTATGCTTAAGTTAGGTGTAGGCTTAGGTCGAAGCTTATTAGGCTCATTCGTATGCTAAAACCCATGTCTATGCTTAGGCTTCGGCTTACAATTAGACTTAGCCTTAGGCATGCTTAGGCTGATTGGTACTTGCCCTTGTTTCCCAGTTTTTATAATATTGGGTTCCTTATTTTTTAACTCTTCAATCGAAAAAGCCGAATACGTTCTCCTCGGTCAGACACTGTGAATCATCCCCAGCTGGGCCTCCGATCGGACAGCACGAGAAATGGGATGGTATGGGAGGCTTCGTCTGTCTCCTATCCTCCCATAACATCCGCAGACCCTTGGACCCTCATTCAGTCTATTCCTTCGTTTGTTGATAATCGATCGTTCATCCTCCTGGCAATTTCAAGCTTCCAAATCTTGTTCAAAATTCGCTTTTAAGATGCAACTCCAAATGGATTTAGACGAACTGCTCAATAAGCCGCATGTAAGATGCCGGTGAGTCCTGGGTTCAAAAAGATGAAAACAAATGATCTAGGAACCGCGAAGCTTTGGAAAAGAAATTGTTAGATGTAATGGCGGACGGACCAGATGACCTCATGGTATCAATAGCTTTAATATTCTAGGTATTGTATCTAGGTAATTTCCGACTTCGATTACACCCTGTCCCGAGCATATGATGATGAGGGAAAATGCTGGTCAACGCTGGGTGTCTTTGATATCCTTGCCGACCAGGTGAAGCCGGGTCTTGGCAAGGAGGTTGGCCAACTCCCAAACCGCTGAATTCATCAAATCAGATCATCGGTCTCTGGGAACGCTACCATCCGATTGAGTACGATCCGCACATGACGTTGGCTGAGAAAGTGCCACATATGGAGGATTGGTATCTAAAGAGTACCTTGGACCTTATTGAAGTTGAACATTAAAGGTGGAACAAGATGCACGATCTGATCTGCAGTGGGCCATTTACAAGGAGTGTCATTGAGGATTTTGTACTTCAATCGCGGGTCAAACTGCGGTAAATTTTAGCACCATATAGAATTCTCTAAATCCAGGGACGGAGCTGAAGAGTGGCTTCTTTATCTAGAAGAATGTGGAATTCCACTTGTCGTCTTTTCGGCAGGATCTGGTGACGTCATTGAGGTTCATCTGAAGAATCAGTTGGCAAAGGTAGAGAGAGAGAGATAGAAGAGATAGAGAGAGATAAAGGAGATAGAGAGAGAGAGAGAGAGAGAGAGAGAGAGAGAGAGAGAGGGTGAAAGCGAAAGAAAAAGAGAACATGAACGAGCAAATTTGGACTGAACTTTTCAGATTCCGGACAACGTCCATATCATCTCTAACCTCATTGAATATGACGTTGAGGGCCGCCTACAACGATTTTCTGACCCGATCATCCACGTTTTCAACAAAAACGCTACCGTAATCCAGAAGGTACTGTAACTCACCTCTAAATCAAACTTTCCCAGAATGGCCCTTTCTGGGATGCGCACTCGGAGCGAAAACACATTTTGTTAATGGGCGACAGCCTTGGGGATATTCATATGGATGTCGGCGAGGTTCATAAAGGACACACGATTAAGATCGGGTTCCTTAACAATTATGTAAGTGTTTACTAGTTAAATTTTATATTGCTATTTATCAGACGGAAGAATTATATGCACGTTTTCTACAAGGATTTGATCTTGTAGTGATCAACGACCAATCGATGACCATTCCACAAGCATTGACGGAAGTGAGTGACACGCAACAATCCAATACCTTTATAAAATTTTACTATTTTTAGATGAAAACCATATTAAAAACAATCATTTTTCAGATGATCGCCACGGGTGCTGATGTCAATCTTTAGTCGCGATTTTTAGCTTCCGTGATGTTCGGAAAAATTGTTGAGCTTTCTTTCATTTTGCCAATTTATTTATGCATTTTACGTTTTTACGACAGGGTTAAAATTCTGTCGGGTGTGCATTAAAACGATGGGTTTAATCTGGGCTTTTTCGTCGTTTTAATTTGTAGCTCCAACTTGTTTTCCAAGTCATATACCTTGTAATCATATCAACGATTTTTAATAAAATGTTGTCAAATGCATAATGATAGAAATGGAAAGATTAATACGCTTTATAATGTTTACTAACCCGATATATTCCTGTAACAGGCGTCCAAATCACGAGCTCAAATCATTGCGAAACAAATCCGAACGTTTCGATGACTAATCATGTCTAGCCAAAAGATCTAACCAGTGATAAACGTCAACCGAATGATATGGGGTGATTTCTTTGGCGGTGCCGCGATGTAATGTCCCGTTGCCTAGCTGTTCCCTTTCCCGCCATTCTCACTCGTACTTTGTTCAACAGATTTTTTCGCCTAGCTTTGCCTACGAAAATGAAGCTAAATCTTGATGCCCTATTCTCGCAAAGCCATATCAGATGCAGGTTCGTAAAAAAAGAGTATAGTAAACTATAGTAACCTGTGGTATTTTAGAGATCGTGAGGCCCTCGAAAAGAAGCTTGCCGCCGTTGTTGAGGATGGACCGAGGGAGCTTTTGGTAGCACACTCCTCGGAATGTAAAGCTCGATGATAATTTAGATAATTTCTGATTTTGACCAAACTCTATCTCGAGCTTATGATGAAGAAGGAAAGCCTTGCACGTCGTCAATTGGTGTTTTCCGGCTGCATGGTGACAAAATTCAGCCTGGCATGGCAAAAGAGGTAGGAGAATATCTCTATTTTGCAGAGAAATAAGCTAAAATCGTCTAACTACTTAAATTGACGATGGTTTAAGATGCAAGAACTCTTCGAAAAGTACTACCCAACCGAGTGCAATCCCCATTTGACGATGGAGCAGAAGTTACCGACAATCAAAGAATGGTTAGTGGTTCCTCAAAATAATAAGAACTTTTTAGGTGGGAAAAAGCACACGAAGTCGTGACCCGCGTTCCCTTTACTGCAGAACGATTGCAGCAGCTCGTCCTCGAATCGAACCTGCGGCTTCGGTATGTTAATTTTGTTTTTGCACTTTTTACAAAAATTTAGTGACGGTGCAGAAGAATGGCTTAAGAACCTCGAAGGCCATGGCATTGCCATTCTTGTCTTCTCTGCCGGGATCGGTGATGTTATCGAAATCTATTTAAAGCATCAGCTAGGCGAGGTAAACAGCAGACTTTTTTCGAGATAAACTGCTTTAGATCCCCAATCATCTCCACGTGATTGGAAACTTTTTGGAGTATAATGCTGAGGGTTCTGTAACTACATTCCAAGAGCCAACGATCCACGTCTTCAACAAGAATGCAACGGTTATTAAGAAGGCATGTCCTTGGTTTTTAGGGCCTTTTTAATGTGCTAAATTTCTAGAATGGACCGTTCTGGGACGCGCACTCGGAGCGGAAGCACATTCTTTTGATGGGCGACAGTCTCGGAGATTTGCATATGGATGTTGGAGAGGTGCACAGTGGCCAAACTATCAAAATTGGGTTCCTGAATACCTACGTGAGCTTGGTTGTGGTGCCAGAAAACATAAAATTGTAGTCCGATGACATGCTTGCCAAATTTATGGACGGGTTCGATATTGTGGTCATTAGGGACCAGACTGTCGATGTTCCAAAGTTCATCACGGAGGTAAAATATAGAAAGTAAATTTATAACTTTTAAATTTAGTTGATTGCCAATCGAGGTCGTGCGATGGAGTAACAAGTAATATTGCATTTATTTTTTGAAAAGCACAATAAACTGAAAAAATGACATTCAAGCGTACAGGCAGTAGACAAAACATAATAACATATGTTATACGATCTCACCGGACTATTCAAATTTTACGTAATAGTAGGAAGCTCGATTCTAGCTATTGGAATAGCTATCGTTACGGGCTTGAGAATTTCTATAGGGTGGATACTCTTCCCTGACAACGCTTCGGAAGAATTCCTTCGAGGTTCCGGGACGCAATTGGTTCTTACACGGAATTTGTGCTAAAAGAGGTTTTTAATTGTTTTGCAGGGACACGTACTTGCTCAACATGTCTCGCGTAGAACCAATTTTTGATACGGGAGCCCGGGCGTCGGAGTAGGAAATAGAGACTCACCTAAATTACATAATTTGGAGCTTGAAAAGTAAAAAACTAACAAATGGCGACGGCCAAACAAAAATAATTTCCAGGGCTTACCAAAATTATAGGTGTCAAGACACAAGCGATAGGAGTTATACAATCCTGCTCAACCATGCCGTGGAATATTAAAACCCGAAAATTTTGATGTGGAAGGCGACCCGAAATTTGTAGCTAACCAGGAAAAAGGTCCGGGTCGTGCGGGCCAATATCGTACTCTCTTGAGGACCTGAAATTATCCGGGACCCAACCTAAAAAAATGTAGTTTTGGGGGAAACGGCTGGGACCGAAACACCTTTTTTTGTTGGTTTCTAGGGGAAGTAATAGCAGGAAATTTACCGCCAGATGCAAACAGTGAGAATTGTTTATCCAAAATTGCACATGAAGGTCTAAAGCTCTAGGGTGAGTGTTGGTAAGGGCATCAATCACAACGGCTTTCCACTTTTGAGCATGGCAAATGTGTTGAACACCAGGCCCGCTGAGAGAATGATCGAGAAGAGGTTGAAGCTGACGAAGACGACGGCTCCAATTCCGGATGAGCAGAAGCCAAACTAGGAACAAAAAAGATCTTTGGAATGTCAACATGCTGACCTGGCTCAAATCGTAATGAACACTGACAAACGGCTCCCTCGACACCATTTTTCCGTCAATTTCGAAGGTAGCATTTTCTAGAGAGACTTGATCATCGGTGTTTCCAAATCGAATCGATTATGATGCATAATTTTTCCGTTGGACTTACCGCCACTTGCCAAGTTTGAAATATTCGCCTCATGCTCCAGCCCTGCCAAACGTCGACGTCTTGGCGGTTCTGGGCACGTCGGGTACTAAATATCACTTTGAACGCTAATTGATTTCAACCCTACCTCACAAAACTCCTGCCCCGGTTCCTTGATCGAAATCGTAATCTCACAATCAAAGTACATGTTCTCCCGATCGGCATATTTATAGACGTGAGCTTCACGACCTGCCATCAAGTCCGAGATGTACTCGAGGTTGTTGAGCAAGTACTTGTCTTGCGCGCATCTAAATGAGGTTCAAGTCGCAGTCGTATTACTTCACTACCCCTTCTCATCCAGTAACCTGACGACATCACCATTGCCGTCATTGACCGTGCAGCTATGGACGGTCATGCAAAACGTGTCGTTGTACTGCGACTCGCACGTCCATTTATGGTATACCTTAAGTGATTACGATAAGTATTCATCATGGAAAACTCACCATCTGGCCGACAGTCGTGTAAAGTACTGGTGGGCCATTCGGGCTCCCATCCAAGACTTCATATTTGCATACTGGCATGGGGATGTTGGCCGTGTGCATTGTTGGTGGAGCCATACTGGAACGACAGCAAAACAATTTAAATTCCTAAAATTCGTTTCCTTTTTAATTGGTAAAAAAAACTTTTATTTAAATTACCTTATTTCTATCTGTTTCTCGAGCCTTCTCTCCATCTCCATGTAAAAGCATTGAACTTGGTAAAGCCGGTCGACCTTGGTGAGAAATTCAGGATGGAAGGCAATGATCACACGGGTCGTCACGAAAAGACCCCGAGGCGATTCCTAGAAAGGGTTCATTCACTTTCATATTATCATTTTCAAATATTACGCTTTCAAATACCTTGAGAATTTTTAAGCCTTTTTCGGAAGTCAGAATTAGCAAGCAGCTAGGGAGGGAGAGAGGGAGAGCGAGAGAGAGAGAAGAGAGAGAGAGAGAGCGAGAGAGAGGGGGGGGGGGGGGGGGGGGGAGGGAGGGGGGGGGGGGGGGGGGGAAAGAGAAGGAGAAGGGGGGGAGGCAGGCAGACAGCCAGAGAGACCAAGATGCAGACAAACAGAAAAAGTCTGATCCAGGATATCCAGCTTCTTTATTACTCATCCCTTCCATCCTCCGATTTCCCCAACACCCACGACGCACCAAAAAACGTGGTTTGCTCCTGGTCTTCTGAATTGACTTTGGCTCCCGCGGGCGGGCCCTTGAAGCCGCTAATCATGTGGAATGACGGGTGGCCCCCGTTTCGCGCAATTGATACGCGGAATGATAGGGGGGAAGGGGTGAGAAGCGAATGGATGCGGAACGGCAAACAGCCACCCTAGAGCCGGCCCGTTTTTCGCTATCCGCGCCGAGGCCCGCGGCGGCACGCCCCAAACAAAGGGACCGGACCCGCAACACATCTTACGGGCCACGTCCTATATAAGCACGTTGACGCGATAGGGCTGGATCATTCTCACGAGAGTGCTTTGACATTGGTTCCGGATTCAGATTGTTTTGAAACGTCGCCTGCATTCTTTGAATTACGCTTAATTCACAGGATTTTTGTCACGTAATTGGTCTCAATGGGTTTCTTCAGATGAGAAAATTAACGCTGCTGCTATTGGCGTTCTTCGTGGCGCTGGGAGCCGCCCAATGGGGAGGTGACGGTGGATGGGGAGGTTAGTGCATTTAAGGAAAATTCAAGTGGCGTTGAAGGTATTAAGGTGCATATTTGAGTATCCTCTAGGTATCCAAAACATTTGCATTTAGGTGGCGGCGGTATGGGAGGTGATGGAATGGGTGGAGGTGATATGGGCGGAGGCGGCGGTTGGGGTCAGTTTTTATTTAATATGGTTAGGGTGGTTGTTTGTGCTCAGCCTAAGTCGCACGGCAAGGCATCAGCCCTGCATAAAACGGAAGCGCCTAAATATTTACGTAGACAAACCAGCCAGTAGCCGTTTTAAGCGTTAATGGAGTTTTGCGAGGTCACATAATAGCGCTTCAAATTTTGAGAAATTTCCATATTTCAAAAACTTCCGAACGATAACAGCTCTCGTGGAGAAAGGGTTAAAGGGGCAAAATCAGCTCCTTCACAGCAACTTCTCTCGAAAGCTTCATGATTTTGTAATTTCTGAAAAATATGTCTAATTCAGAACTTGCAGCCCTATCTAATAAGCTACGTCACATAGCAATGCTCCCGCAAAGCGCTTTTTTGTAAGCCCAACTAAGAGATACAGACGTCAACAGGCGCCTTCCGTTATATACGTGGATGACAAATTACCAAGCGCGTTAAAATTCAAGCTCCAAACCCTCACTTTTATCTAAAAACCAGGGTTGAAAAGCCGCTTCGCGACTTTTCAACCCTGGACCCGTCTGCACCCATGATATACTTGGCTTTGCATAATTTGCGCGGATTCGGATGACGAAAAATAAAAAATGCTCTCTCCGTGCCTTTATGTAGGCTACCGCGACTTCCGGTGCATGCTAATTTCTCCCTAACAAAGAGGGGTGCCCGATTTTCCATGAAAAATGAATTTTAATGTCGAAAACAGCGTATTTTGTAAAATCTAATATGTGTGCAGTCATCTCCAGCCCATTACGCATCTAATGACGTATCGAACATACCCCTAAGTACTTCCCTTCTTGAGATACTACTGGAACACGGTGACGGAAGTTGCATGCAAATGCACACACACACACACACAGACACTATTTTTTTATATATAGTAGGATACCCATTTTAGGAGGTGACGGAGGTTATGGCGGTGGCGGTGATGGTGGCTGGGGAGGCGGTGATGGAGGTGGGAAATCCTATACCTAACTCAAGTTTCGTTATCTAGGTTATGGCGGAGGCGGTGATATGGGTGGTGGTATGGGAGGTGGATACGGTGGAATGGGAGGCATGGGAGGGAATATGGGAGGAGGTAAGCATCAAAAAGAACTCAACTGAAAGCCTAAATTTTGAGGTTACGGAGGCTGGCCCAACAACGGCCGCTAAACCGACGCGACCAGTCACCACCCTATTTTATGGCACCCTCGCGGGCTATTTAATAAATTATTGGTCACCGAGAATCGTTTGTGCACAGCGCATTCTTCGAATCCGATGCGAAGTGAGGTGTTGCGCACACCGTCTCCATCAGCTGGGGGAGAGCGGCAGGCGGGGTCGTTTAGCTTGTCTTCGACGAAGACGAGCCCTCGGAATGGGGTTCGTGTGTCGAAACGGATCTGGAATTTATCGCAGAGCATGAGGAATAATTGTTGTAGAGAAGAATTCCTGTCAAAATCCCGACAGCTTATAGCCGGAGAGACCAAAATACCGACAGCGAAGATTCCGACAGCTAAAGCCCCGACAGCCGAAATGCCGAAATATTCTGGATGCGTGTCCTTGCTTTCTGGGACACTAGCTTTTAAACAGCAATTGTGCATATTGGGATTCTGGCTGTTGAAAGTATGACTGCAAGAAATTGGCCATATCGGATGTTTGTCGGGATTTTGGCGTCTCCCCGTTGAAACAACAGACACGCGGAAACATTATTTGTATAGTTGTCCGCAATCAGTAAAAAACTTAAACTACTATACCTCAATATGCCCATCGCCACAATCCAAAAACGGGTCTCCGATGACGCCGTTGTCGACTTGTGCATAAACACACCCCTGCAAAAACGGTGACTGTCAAAACCTCGAAAATATTTTTTATTTTTCAAACATTTTTACATTTCAAACTCTAACTTTTCCCCCTCTTTCCCCCATTTTTAGTAGCTGTTGTGGATAGTATCCACTAGACTAGGATAGGATCTACGTATATGCAGAGTCAGCCAGCGAATCCATATTGGATAGACGAGTTTGAGAGGCCGAGGACGCTCCCCCTAGCCCCTCAACTAGGCAATGACCGCCGTCGGCCATCGCTGAATATCGATCAAGTCATACAGGCAAATCGAAATATGAACCTCAAACACAATAGAGGAGGTTGAGTTTGATATGGTAAATTGACAAGAACAATATATTGGGACCTGTCATAAAAAGGAGACATTTTCTTATGCAAAGGAAGTTTTTTACAACGATTTTGGTATTCAGGATTAATAATTCGTTTTATATTATTATTCTGAAGATATGAAAACTTACTAGAGAGAACAGCAATATCCAAGTTGCCGCTCTCATCTGTCTGAAATTCGCTTTCTAACATTTTCAAGCGCTCAAAAAAATTGTCCGGAAGAAGATTATGAAAACCGATACCAAGAAATTAAAGAAAAGCAATGATAAAAATGCTGGTAACACAAAACGTGAAAGAAGCAGAACATTTGCCCATCCTCCTATGCAAAGACAGCTTTTGGGCGTGGACAGATCGAGATCTCTAGTGCGAGGAAGGGGGAGATTCATTAGCATGATCCGCCCCCGGGAGGAGGGCTTCAATGGCTCTTGGCTTGCCGGCAGATATTTTTCCTGAGGAATGCGAAGCCAAAAATGGTTGCGTGTCCTTTCCGGTGTTTAGATGGCCAAAAACTGTTTGGAAGAAAATCGGGGGGGGGGAATAGTTTTTTTTCTTTATTAAATGGATGACTGCTTTTTAATAGATAATTCAAAACTCTTTATCTCGCTTTATCAACTTATGCAGCGCTTTGAAAAATAATGGATCGTTGCCCAGCATTCGGAGCTTCACGTTATGAATCAACGAGCCGACAAGCCCTCCCAAACTGATCTAAATATTATATCTTTTTAATCTAAATATTATAAAATAAATAAAATCAATCCATACCTGTTTTCTTAGCTCTCCAACCGGAATATTGCGCAACGTCTCGTAGTGTGAGTGAAAGAGCTTTGATTCCGTAAGCGGAATTTGTAGGAGATGCGCTAAACTATGAAAAAAATACCAAAAATATCTTCTCACTGATTATATATCCAAGCGTCACGTCATCAGGGTAGCTGATGTTGTAAGAAATTTCGGAAAATTTCGAAATATACGGGTACAGCCTTCTCAGCAATCGGTTGGATAAACAAATCCCCGCACCTCCGGTGGCAAAGGTAAAAGTATCCTAATCTAGGAGTAGAATTGAAAGAAGCTTTAAGCTACCCCTTTCTTGTTTAGAGCTACTTCAGCCGCAGATTTCTTTCCAATATAAAAATCACGATTTACGTCCATCTCCCCCAAGAAGTCGATTAGTCGAGGAACGTTGACATAATTGTCGTCGTCAAAATGGCAGCCCCAGCTGGAAATTTGAAGTTATTAGGAAAAAGGCATTCACCTAGAATTGGATTCGAGCAGTATCTGCAGTTCCAGAGCCATTTTACAGCCAAGTTGCCTTCTACAAAAATAATAAAGTTAATGTAGTTTCAAAACTGGCCTTTGATGACCAATTCCGCAATCAGAAGCTATCAAATTGCCATTGAAAAGTTTCGCGGTTTCTTCGTCTTTATGGTCGGTTATAACAATTGTCTTAAAAAATTTGTATTACGTTAATTATTATAATATTTTACAAGTTCACCTAGCTAAGTCCTAAACTTTTCGTTATAAAGATTGTATTGAATAATGATTGAATAAAGACGTGGCTCTTAAAGTGCATGCCTGATCCGGAAGCCATTCCAACCATGTCTCTGCAATATACCCCAAACGAGTTCGATGATTGGCAAGAGTTGATTTTATCGTAATTAGTAGTGACGCGGAATTTATCGGAAATATAGAACAAAGCAGAAAATAAAGAAAAAACATTTTTGCCTCATTTTGCAGCAAATAGAACAAACGACGGGCTAGCAACGGCCCTTAAATTATTAAGGTGAGGACCGGAGGAGGAAGTAGACTATTTTTACGCAGGTGAGATCAATAAGCCGGGCGGTCAAAATATATACAAGCAAGAATACGGGAATTTAATCAGTTTTTGCGTGGCCGGAGTCGTGAATTAGCCGGTCGCCCCGTCGGCGTGACTGGCAGGCTCGGTGACTTTGATTTCCGTTGCTTACGGACTAACCGCACATGCTTTCGCCACTCACGTCGAAGCTTAATGACGGCTTGCCGGGCTTGTTGCTAAAATTATTACGTTGTTCTATGAAAAGTAGTAAGGCTTACGAATTCCATGGCAATGTAGAAGTCGTACTGGTTGGGTTGCGTTCTCTGCCACTTGATCTGCTGTTCATCGTACGCCTCCAACTGGTTGGCGAAGCAGTAGACGGCCCGCTTTGCGCCCTAGATCGTTCCGGTAAGTGTTCGGTCTATGATTACTTACATCCCATTTAATTTCAACGACATTTTCCGGGAGTTTTCTCGGTGATTTCCGCCAGGTGTCCTTCACCGAGCAGCCGTAGAGCCGAGAATTTTGATGCCAACGGATCATGCCGTGTTGACCGACCTGAATTTTGCAGTGATAGTTTTTACGATGTCTTAACCATTGTTTTTACTTAATGTTAATCTTTAATTTTAATGTTTAATTTCTTGTCTTGAAATCCTTTGCATTATGAAGCCAAAAACTACTTTCTAAAGTACCAACCTGACTGCCGATCTGCAAAAACTTTTTGGCGGAGCGTGTAAGGGCCATTGTCGTAGTTGTTTAGTGGTTAGAAGTAATTTAGAGCTTAGAAGTCCTGTTGGGAATCTCATTTTAGAAGCCGTTATATAACGTTTCCAACGAGGGCCAAGTCGAAACGTGTGGAACGGGGCCGAGTCTCGGTCGGCCTGCGCTCTCTTGGCCTTTTCCGGTCTATCACCGCGGTGAGTCAAGCTTGTTGCCAGCGTCGTGCGTTCGTCAGGCATTCGGGTCTCGACCTGTGAGCGCTTTTCGTAAAAATTGTCGGCCCAAATTTGGCTGCATCACGCTCCAAAGGTCAAACCAACGTTGATTGTCTTCGTTTCATCAGGTCTAAAATCTCTACAGTTACAGAGCAAAAGCCAAGTCTCAAAAAATATACTTTATTCCATCACCCATCTTCGCTACACACGAAATCACGGACGAATTATTATCACTACAGTAGGGGAGTACAAGGCGCCAGCAAAGGTGAATAAATACCGGAGGCAAAAAAAAGATCGCTCGAGAATGTGAGAGGAAGACAGTGGTCGAGGGATAAGATACGAGAAAAACCCGAAAAAGAGTGCAAATGATGGGTTGACAAGGGTCCAGGGGTCCAATGATGGTTCGATATATTCACATGGCGGTGAGCAGATCATCGGTGCAAAGAAGACGTCTAGGCACCCATTTCGAATTGTCGGTTCGAGCGAAGCACTAGAGGATAATTAGCTTTGAAGTAATAAAAGGTTGATACCACGGGTCACGTAGAGATAGAAGAAATCCGCGTAGAGCACCGTCTGCACGATACCGGCAACCGTGGCAATCGGGTCGAAGAAGCTTTCAGTTTGATATCTAAAGAAAATAAGTATCAGTTTTTTAGAAAAAACCTGTAGAACCAGTTGAAGATGTAGAGGGCCCGGTAGATGCCCAATGCGAAGAGATAGTGAGCGGTGATCGTCTAAAAAGAAATATAACGTTTCCAGAGACACGGTGTATGGATAAGCTCTCAAAAGTAAAATCCTTACCTCGGCGTTTCCGGTTCGGGAAAGCATGAAGAGTTGGGGCATGATGGCGACGGCCTCGAGGTAGATTGAGAAGGTCCACATAATCTTGAAAGAAAATATATTTGATTCATGCAATTTTTCATACCTCCATAAGGCTGAACTCGTGGTTGACGAGAAGGGCCAGGGCAGCGCATGGAACGACGAGGAGCTCGATGCGAAGAGTGTCGTTATTCCTGCAAAGTAAAAATGAGCCTAGCCTGGTCAGGAGTTTTTATCGGATAAACGTAGTTGAAAGCTCAATCTTACCTGTCGTAAGTCGCCTTGAATTTGTGCCACATCAGCCAAAGGACACCGAAGGAAGAACCGAGGTAAAAGACCTATGACAAGTGTCAGCGATTGTAAAGAAATAACTACCTTCATGACAGTGTTATAGAAGGAGACGAAATGGGTAAACAGATCCAGGTATCGAGTGACGAACACGAGGGCGAAGAGGATCTGTGATCGCCCGGAGATTCCTGAAAATAAGAGGTTAGTAAAGGCAAATCAAAAAAATAATCGCTCGTAAACGAAAAATATTTACCTTCACAGCTCCTTGACTTCCATATTTTGTGCAAAAGGATGACGATGGCGAGGAGATGAGAAATATCTCCGGTGAGGCGAAAGATATTCATCGCGGCCCAATTCTCCCAAGGAGTTCGAACTGAAAAGGATTTGGATAATGGAAGTCTACCAAAAAAAGCAGGTAAAAACGCAGAAAATAAGGAAGTATTTATCAAGGACCTTGTACCAGAAAAAAGGGCTGTTTTGCTAAAAACCGCGCGCTCACTATCGAAAACCAGAAAAGCTAAACTAATATAGTAAGGAGAAATTGATTAGTTTGCGCTAATTTTAGTAATTTGGCGCGCACAGATCGTGGAGGGAACGGCTATAGCCGGATTTGGGTTAGTTCCACGTCAGGCTTGTTACCCCAGGGCACCGCTCTTTCGCTGCTGCGCACCCAGAGAGCTGTGCTACGGTCACTGGGTCGCGCTATAGCAGAAAACGAGGTCGCGGTGAACGGATGCAGAGTACGGAACTTGACACGAGACGCTGGACGGAAAAGGAGTTCGGTTACAGTAAGGGTTGTCGAACTCGATAAGTTTCAGGTGGCTGATCGTAGTGAACTTATTGTTAGTCAGTAAAGGCAAAATCATTACGGCCTCGTATTTTAACAATCAGGAGGTAAAATTCCATATTTTTTATTTTTTGATGGTAAAATGTCGTAAAAATTATTTTATTTAATAAACGTCGCGTGGCACACGCTTCATGTTATTGGTTATGCCTCAATTCCTCTAAGAATTTCATGAGTTCCTAGACCAGCCTCGCCCATCACTCGACCTATCATCGTATATATACCGAATCCTATAAACCAAAACCAAGCACAGAAAACCAATCACAGGGCTTCCCCTAGTTTTTCTCCCGAAGAGCTGACAAGAGCTGCTTTTGTTTTGGTATGGCGGCCGAAGCCAAGGAGGGCCCTGCGCGGAGCCAGCCCTCCAACCACACTTCCGACACGTCAAAAATTGCTCTACTCAGCCAGAATGCCCCATATGGCCTGGGCCCATATATAGCAGCTGGACGTTGGCTTTACAATAGACACAAACACATGAAACACACAAAAAAAAACAGACAATATAGATACCTAAATCGTTAAAATTGGGCGCGGCTGCCGCCCGCTAGGGGACACCAGGTTTTACCCAACTTACCGTAGGTCTTCCTCTTTCTGCTAGTCTCATTTTTTTGCTAAATTGAAAGCGCCGCTTCTTCCTGTTTCCTTTTTTCTATTCGCCGCAACCCCAAAGGCCGTTTTTTCCAATTATCCATTTTTCCGCGTGTTGCCATCATAGTTGCCCTCGTTTCTGCGAAACTCATTAACTCGAAGCCCTCCGTTTGGTGACCACAGGGCAGAAAAATGAATGATTGCTGCCTAAATTGCCGGGGTGAGTAAGGGAAGCCGCCATCGCTCGAGAAAGGCGAGATATTTTGGGCCTCATAATTCGACATAAACTCTTCGCCGCGATGGGCGGGCCATATAAAGGTCGTGGGTGCTGTGGCTGTCACGTCACGCCTCCTCCTCCCCGGCAGCACCTTCTGCTCCACCTCGTTCTCACATTGACCATTTCCGCTCAGCAACGCGGCCATTGTCCGGTGGATGGTTGCTGTCGTCATTTATTTGTAGATGGATTGCCTGTGCAGCGGATGCTCTCTCTGAGCTCTAACCATCTTGTGTTGTAGTCGTTTTGAAGCTAATTTGGCTCTTTTCTTATTGCCGTCACTGTTGCGTGCTGAAAAAACTGTGAAATATGATCCGAATATGAAATTTTGTGCACATCTGAAACGTGAAAAGGCGCATCGCGTTGAAAAATCTGCGCCCGATGGATCAGCCGGGCACCCTGCCGTTTCATGTGTAACCTTTTTTCTTGCATGACCCTGAGTCCAAACTTTAAATTCAGGATATTACTCATTTCGATGAGTGATTACTCATAATTATTGCCGACATTGTGCGCATTTTCCTTGCCTTAGCCAGATCTATAAATAGATGAAATTATGGCATTTTTTTGCGCGGCTTAACACTTTCTCTCTTCATTTTTGTTTTCCCAATATATTTTTTTAATTTTTTTGGTAAAGAAAAATTGGTTTTTCTGTGATGCATCACTCCATTTCCCTCTTGGAGTTTATCGCTTGGTCTCTAATTTCACATGAAATTCTGTCGTTTCCAGATGCCTTCCGACTTGAGGCTATCCTCCTTATGGACGGGACGAATTAATTTGCTCCTGATGAGTTGCACTTCCTTGGCCTTCATCAGCTTACTCCCATCCACAATGGCAGCCAGTAAGTCCAAAACAGCACGATAAATCTATCGCCTCTCGTTAGCTCGGATCAGCTACAGCTTGCCAAAAATCAAGCTCATCGGGGGGACGTACGACGAGATGTCGGCTAGCTATGACGCTTGTCAAAATCGATGTGGCGCGGCGACATGCTGTGTCGGCTTCACTTACGGACACCGGGAGAAGAGGTACCAACTTCCGAACTTTTGAACCCCGGCTTTAGGTGCTACCTAAAGTCCGCGATCGAGACCTCGGAGGAGGACGAAGATTGGACGAGTGTTTTGATGGCCAATTCCAATCATGGTGCATAGAAAGCCAGCGATAAGGGACCAAAAATTTAGGCCAACGCGCCACCCTGCGTAACGTTTTTATCGATGGGCAGCGGAGTTCTTTTGAGTTGCCGAGCGCGGAAGATTGCCATCAGTATTGTACAGGTATGATACTGATTTTTTTAGTGTGTATTTGAGAACGTTTTTTGAAACTTATCGTCTGCATGGCTCCCCTTCTTCTGCCTTAAAGCTTGTTTTTTGAAGAAAGCTTTTCTGGCTCCCGCGAGCGTTTACCGGGCTCTTAAAAAACCTTCCGATTTTGCAAACAAACAAGCGGGGATGACGTCCGCGCTAGGGTCCCCTTTTCAGTGCCACGTCGGGCTTTCGATTGCCGATTACTTGAAAAGGAATGGGAAGTGAGGTAGAGGTGAAGGGGGTTCTTTCAAGTCGCCCAAAGACCAGTCCCACTTCGTCCTCGGGGGATGCCCTGACTGGTTGCCGAGTAAGTAAGAAGGCTTCCATTTCCCCGAAGTGCCACACATATCTTCTTAGTCTCATGGCTGCTTTGAAGGCCAGGACGGCTGCGTAAAAGCTCAGTAAACTCGGCTGCTGACGCCCTAAACCTCCACACAAATATATTTACTATTTGCTGCGCATTACTCCCAGCCCTTGACGCGTAGGATGGTCGAAAACCGGGGTTGCACAGCATTTTTCACCCAAAAACAGACAGATGGGGGTAAGAGGGCTTCCGGCGGAGCGGCGCCTCGCTTCGATTGGCTAAACTAATCAAATTAGCGGTCGTTCTGAGAGACTGTCAGTCAGTCGGCAACCACCGTGAGGAGATGATTTGTTGGGCTGGGGGGGTGGGTGGGGTGACCGGAAGTTGTGGGGGG